CATTCTCTTCCTGTGCGTGTGTGTGTGTCTATCTGTGCATGTGTGTGTTCTGGCAGGAGGGAAAAATGAAGGAGCAGGACTTGTTTGCTGGTTTTAACTGCACTGATCTGGAAGCTCAGATGACTCCTCACACACACACATCCTCCGTCTGCCAGCCGTCCGTCAGCGCTGTGAGTTCCTTCACACACACTCACTTTCAGAAGTGTTTTTTTTCTTTTTTCTTAAAGGGACAGTGCACCCAAAAACGAAGATTTGGTCAGTTGTGGAGTTTGCATGTTCTCCCCGTGTTGGCGTGGGTTTCCTCCGGGTGCTCCGGTTTCCCCCACAGTCCAAACACAAGCGCTATAGGGGAATTGATCAATTAAATTGGCCGTAGTGTATGAGTGTGTATGGGTGTTTCCCAGTACTGCAAGGGCTGCATAAAACATATGCTGGAATGATTGGTGGTTCATTCCGCTGTGGCGACCCCCTGAGAAGTAAAGAGATTAAGCCAGAGGAAAATGAATGTATATGTGTGTGTGTCTTCAGTGTGAGTATTAATGCTGTGTGATGTTCTGATTCCAGAACTCGTCCTGCTCGGCCCACAGAAGCTCTAACTTCAGCGCAGTAAGTGTGTGTGTGTGTGTGTGTGTGCTGCTGTCAGTCTATTGTGTCTAATATAAGTGTGTGTGTGCTGCTGTCAGATCTGCTGTCAGTCTAATGTAAGTGTGTGTGTGTGTGTTTGGCCAGGTGGAGTGTGTGAAGAACATCAGAGGTGATCTGCGCTATTATGATCTGCTGCTGAACTCCTACAAGCCCAGCACACAAGAGCTGAGCCCAGTCATCACGGCCAACACACAGCTCATCAATGTGAGGATACACTCACACACTACAGTCAGAGCGGCTCTAGCTGCACTCATTATTGTTATTATACCTCATGTCAAACTTTCATTCTTTTTCACATATTTCACAAATGAGTGTGTGTGTGTGTGTGTGTGTGTGTGTGTGTGTGTGTGTGTGTGTGTGTGTGTGTGTAATCTTGAATTCAATCTTTACTTGAACAGTATATTGATCATATAATGTGTGTGTGTGTGTACTAACTTACGTTCTGCTTGATTTCAAGTGCTTGAATCAGAGGTGTGAGTCTGCTGAAGGAGTGTTTCCTCAGGTGAGCGCACACACATATACACACACACACACACACACACACACACACACACACACACACAAAAACTAAACTTTTGACACCGTGTAAAGTTGTACCGATCATTGTTATTTTATGAATATATTCTATGATAACTAGTCAGGAATTCAGCGGCCACTTTATTAGGTACACCTTACTAGTAGCAGGTTGGACCACCTTTTACCTTCAGATCTGCCTTAATCCTTCATGGCGGAGATTCATCAAGCTACTGGAAATATTCCTCAGAGATTTTGCTCCATATTGTCATGATAGCATCACACAGTTGCTGCAGATTTGTCGGCTGCACATCCATGATGCCAATCTCCCGTTCCACCACATCCCAAAGCTGCTCTATTGGATTGAGCTCTGGTGACTGTGGAGGCCATTTGAGTACAGTGACATGGTCAGCAGCAATACTCAGGTAGGCTGTGGCGTTGATGCTCAATTGGTACTAATGGACCCAAAGTGTGCCAAGAAAATCTCTCCCACACCATTACACCACCACCACCAGCCTGAACCGCTGATACAAGGCAGGATGATCCATGCTTTCATGTTTTTGAGGCCAAATTCCGAATGTGTCAGCAGAAATGGAGACTCATCAGAGCAGCAACGTTTCTCCAATCTTCTATTGTCCAGTTTTGGTGAGTCTGTGTGAATTGTAGCCTCAGTTTCCTGTTCTTAGCTGACAGGAGCGGCACCCGGTGTGCTCTTCTGCTGCTGTAGCCCATCCACCTCAAGGTTGGACGTGTTGTGTGTTCAGAGATGCTCTTCTGCAGAGCTCGGTTGTAGCGAGTGCTTATTTGAGTTACTGTTGCCTTTCTATCAGCTGGAACCAGTCTGGCCATTCTCCTCTGACCTCTGGCAGCAACAAGGCATTTGCGCCCACAGAACTGCCGCTCACTATTTCCTCTTTGTCGGAGCATTCTCTGTAAAACCCTAGAGAAAATCCCAGTAGATCAGCAGTTTCTGAAATACTCAGAGCAGCCCGTCTGGCAGCAACAACCATGCCACATTCAAAGTCACTCAAATCCCCTTTCTTCCCAATTCTGATGCTCACTCTGAACTACAGCAGATGGTCTCGACCATGTCTACATGCCTAAATACATTGAGTTGCTGCCATGTGATTGGCTGATTAGAAATTTGAATTAACAAGCAGTCTGACAGGTGTACCTAACAAAGTGGCCGGTGAGTGTAAAACCTCATAGTTGTGTTCATCCTGATAATTAGGGTCATAGTTGTAATAAAGACACATCCACATCATCATTTATGAGGTCTTAGATTTTTTTAAACGCCACACAAGCCTTACTTTATGCATAAAATGTCAGGTTACTCATTAGGAGGACATCTCAAGTCATACACTGCAAAAAATGCTTTTCTTACATTGTTTTGGTCTTGTTTGTAGTCTGAATATCAAACATTTCTTAAATCAACAAGCCTTTTCTAGACTAGCAAAACATATAGTCTTGTTTTCAGAAATAATACGACAAAATTAAGTGATTATTTCATTCAAAACAAGCAAAATAATCTGACAATGGGGCAATTAAAATAATCAAGTCAAGAAGAAAAAGTAATTATTTTGTGTTTGTGCACACACACACACACACATACACACACACACACACACACACAGACACACAGACACACACACACACACACACACAGACAAACACACACACACACAGAGTCGCTCAGTGGTTTGATGGTGTGTGTGTGTGTGTGTGTGTGTGCAGTGGCGCGTCTGGAAGGGCTCTTCGTTTGACGACCGAGTGTCCCTGTGTAAAACACTGAAGGGTTTCCACATCCGCTCCATCACCGTCAACAGAGCGCTGGCCTACATCGCCTCCGGAGAGCACAGGAAATGATGTCACTCACTACACCACCGCATGACATAAGCTAGAAGAGTCCTGTCATGAGCCGCTCTCCTTTATACTCTATTTATTGACCGATGTTTTGTATTTATTTATTCATTTTGGGAAGTTATTTATTGACCTGCATGTACTCCCTTATTTATTCACTATTTATTTATATATTTCTGCAACAAAACAACTGACTGTGCTGTGTGTTTTGTGTGTGTGAGAGGTATTGGTGTTGGTTATTAGCTCTGTTTCCATTCAAAGATGCCTAGATTAAGGTGTAAAACTAGAATATTGGATAAAAGGTTTGCTAATAAACCAGCGTTCACAGACAGAGAGAAACTAAAGAGAGCACAGTCATCTCTTCCTGATAAACTGGTGTTGGGATTTGCCACTGTGGTGTTTATCTGCTCTAATAAATGAGTTGCACCACAGAAGACGAAGACCTCTATCATACACCCGGCGCCACAAGGTGCAAGACATGTTTGGTGTGATTTGTTGCTATTTTCAGACCAGCACAACAATGATTATCTCGTTTTGTGCGACGTTGTTTAAATAGTAAATGCATCTGCGGCACTCTGTGGGCTCATGTGTGTGCTGGTCTATATAGGAGGTGTGTTAAGGCGCATTGTTGGTGTGTTGCTATACTGAGGAGCTGAAATAGACGCACCATTGACCAGCTAAAATCTGCTCTAAAGTCCAGCAGATTGTGTTAGTTATGCGCCTGTACAGGTCTAAACTCTGACACACTGCTGAACACACACAGGATGATCAGCAACACACACATATCTTTACAGATGAAAACAATTAAAGGATTAAGATGATCCAGAAATGATGATTTTCTCCATCAGTATAAACAGCACTGCCTCCATGCCTTCTTCACCTCGGGGGGCTTCTTCAGTTTATTGATGACCATCTGCATCAGTATAATGGGATTATTATCAGCAGGATTATTGATCATCTGCAGATTTATATCTGTTTTAATGAAAGCTAGTGTAGATGTGTCCGGCTGTGGGGTTGTGGAGACGTCTGCATCAGCATATGTGGATAAGAACAGGACGTGTGTTTGGATATAACTCAGTTGTTTGAGCACACTTCATTATTATTGCTCATTCACTCCTTTGCTGGAGATCAGAACTGAATTTAGAAACAGTTTAGACACAAATCTCTGCGCTTAACAGAGGAAATGAAACATGTGGGCTGATGGATGTGTTCAGTGGAGGGAGTTTCCACCGTTCCCTTACTTCACCAAAGTAAAGGAGTAAAGTAAAGCAGTAAAGTAAAGAGGCTGAATGGAGGAGGCTCGTTCTTTATCCTCGCGCTGCAGATGCTCTGTTTAACTGTTCTCTCGCTAGTGAAGCGTTCAGTTTTTACTCTTACAAAGTCGCCATGTAAATAGCAAATGCACCATGGAGCGACGCAACTGACTCTTAAAGGCAACGAGAGACGAGGTGCTGATTGGTTTAATGCAGGTTCTGCTCAAAACACAGCCAGAACTCATTAAGAGAATAAGCTCAGCCCTGTTAGACTATGCGCTGTGCGCAGACTTTTCTGTGCTTAAAATAGCAAAATTCAGAAACAGCCTTAATGCTTTTGCACCCTGCACTTTAGACTTTGTGCCTATATCATTAAAATAGAGGCCAAAGATGAAAGCTAAAAAACACGGTGGCTTTTGAAGGCTCGAGACGCTCTGCAGGAGGGCAGACAGATGCTCAAGACAGTTCTGGAGAGAATATTAATAGAGTAATAATAATAATACTGAAGCACTGTGATGACAGACTGACAGCTGAGGGGTTGTAGAAAGAGCAAAACACGTTATTTTGATGGTCCGTTTGAGTATTAGTAGACTATCTGCTGATACTGCTCCTTCAACACATATTTAACTGACTATAATGGCCCATTTCCACTGAGTGGTATGGTATGGTTCGGTTTGGTACGCTTTTATGGCCGCTTCCACTGTTAAAAAGCTTACCGAACCGAACCGTACCACCTTTTCGGCACCCTTTCGAAAGGGTACCAAACACGAGAAACAGTACCAAAAGGCGGAGCTAGACGTGCAGCTGAATGCTATTGGTTTACAGAGATACGTCATTCGCTTACGCAACAATCCAGAATGAAAACAAAAGAACCGCCATGTTTAAAATACACAGCGAGAGATTACAGCGGAATTATATATACAAATAATAACGAGCCATGGTCGACCCGGGCTCAAACAAACAAAGACACTTTGCAAATACTTGTCATCTTACACTAACCCCAACCCCAACCTAATATTCATTCATTCATTTTCTTTAGAGCTTAGTCCCTTTATTAATCAGGGGTCGCCACAGCGGAATGAACCGCCAACTTATCCAGCATGTTTTACGCAGCTGATGCCCTTCCAGCTGCAATCCATCACTGGGAAACACCCATACACACACATGCACTATGGACAATTTAGCTTACCCAATTCACCTGTACCACATATCTTTGGACTTGTGGGGGAAACCGGAGCACCCTGAGGAAACCCACGCCAACACGGGGAGCCCAACCTAACAGTCTACATATAATCTAATGAGAATAAGTTGGCATGTGGATGCAATGTAACTTAAATTCAAAAAACAGACCATCAAAATAAAGTGTGACCCAACATTTCAGATGTGCTGGAAATGCTGCAAAGTCCATTATTGCATCCCATCATGCACATTTTTAATCATCACATGATCTGTTCATACAAACTATCTGGACTTTATGTAGTAAGCGTGTTTCACATTGTAGTTTATGCACACTTTTACCTATTGGATAAACAGTTCATCTTAGTTGTGCGCATACATTTATTATGCACATTATTATGCAATAAACCAGTATGTAGCTAAAACAGGAGGATGAAAACATGGTTAGTGAGACCGAACTGATGCTGAGAGCACAGCAGATTCAAAACCAGAGGGAATCGACACCTTCACACTGTATATGTCATGTAAAAAGGTCATCAAATGGCAAATGATCACCACAGAGAGGGCACAAAACCCCTGCTCAGAGGTGGAATGAATGCATTTACTGTACGCCAGTATTTCAGCTGTGAACTGGGTTACGGTATCAGTTTGACACAGGAGCACAAAGTCTTCAGTTGAGTGGGAATATCTTTAGCAATAGCAAAACACACCATATGCATGAACAAAAAAATGATTTTTCCTTCATGCCAAAAACATTAGAATAATAAGTAAAAATATGTCCTGCTGTTCGTGTATTAAAACCTATATTTTGATTAGTAATGATCATTGCTAAGAGCTTTAAAGGTGATTTTTCCTCAACATTTTAGGTGTTTTTGCACACCAGGGCCCTCATGTATCAACAAAAAAAAACTTTGCGTACGGCAGGTTTCACGCTCACGTTTGGATTAACTAACGATGAAATGAACGTGGGAATGTGTGCAGGTCCATGCCAACTTCATGCCTGGCGTTCGCACATTTCTTGTGTGTGTGTGTGTTTTATTTTCATTGGCGACTCCTAGAGGCAGTTGTGTTAAATTGCACTCTACAAAGTGTCTTTGAGGCGTGCAATGGCAGCTGTACAAGACGAGATCATCCGCATGTCCTGCAGGTTTATAAGGTTTCCATGCAGTTGACCAGCCGAACATTAAAGCGCAATTTGCAGCGGTCGCCGGTTTCCCCAATGTAATCGGAGCGATCGACTGCACACGCATTGCCATAAAGACACTATCTGAAGACGAATATGTATATGTGCAAATAAAATATGATGCACAGACTTATTAATGATTCCTACTTGTCTTCCTCGTGATGAAGAGTAGGCAAAATCTGATCCACCAGACGGTGGATTCAAACCGAGTTCATGCTTGAACATGTCGCCATGCGCTTTACGAGCTACGCCACTCACGCTGTTAAAGAGACTAGAAAATTTGACCCCTTTACATCGCACTTTCTTTTTTATATCCACTCAGTGTGCGATTTTCAGACCTAACTGCGTTAACCACATCAGCTAAACTCTCCCTCTTTATTTTTTTCTTTTGTTATTAATTTCAGAGAACAAACTTGCAAATAACAAAGTTTTTCTCTAGTCTATCTCCAAAAGCAGCCCCTCCAAATCACAGTCTGTTCAAAGTTTCTCTTCTTGCTTTCTTTTGCCGTTGCTTTTTCGTTTGATTTGGCCAAAGTAGAGTCATTAGCATATTCATACGGGGGAGGAGGCAGGGAGGGGTTTTGCGCTCAGTTTCACGTTCATTCAGATGTTCAAAGAGAATATGTGTGGGATTCGGCGATTCTGAATTTTTTACTGCATATGCACATTTACAGCTTTGTGCATACGCAATGTTTTATTATGAACTCAACGCAAGTCTTCGTACAGATATTTAAACGGTTCTAAAATATGTCCATGTCTAACAACCCATACAACACTGGAAAGCTTATCTATTCAGCTTTCAGATGATGTATAACTCTCAATTTTAAAAAAATGACCACTTATGACTGATTTTGTGGTGTTTAATCTTGCTTTGAGGCATTATTGACTGAACTTTGAACAGAAAGCAGTTCAAACAGCCTCATATTGCAGAACAAGTCTTTCTGACACACAAAAATGTCTGAAATGCTTCAATAACAGGAGCGCTGCAGATTTTGTTCATTTCCCTGATTTATACACTTAAGGAAAGGTGAGTCAGACTCCTCCAAACATCCCCTGAGACAGCACATTAGAGAAAACACCCTTCCAGACAATATTCCTACACAGTGTGGTGTGTTCGACCACTGGAAGTTCATCTACAAGGTACTGTTGATGCTCACGTGTGGATTAGAGTCTTTGTTTTACATGAATATCATGATATTTATACGCAGTTTTACCACAACCGTCAGGAAAAAGCACCGAAATATCAAAACAGTTTCATAAAAACTGGCTCATTATTCGACAAATACTTACAATATGTACAAGATATAAAAAAATAAAAGCTAAACACAAAGATCAACATACCAACAAAATCTCCCACTCAACAGTAAACAGAGCTCAGATTGGTTGAGAGGTTTGTAAACCGGCGAGCGCGGCAGACTCCTGTGTTAAAGCTGACTGGCCTTTTACTGCAGGACCTCTTCATGGCTCTCTAATAGTGGTTAAAAGACATTTCCGTCACATGGTGGAGATCAGCAGACGTCCACATGCTCGTCTCACAGCTTCATGCGGTCATTTATTGTGTAGCATCTCTGGAAAACACACACACAGGTTTGTTTTTGTAAATTGTGGGGACATTCCATAGGTTATTATACTGTATTTTCTAATCGCCCTACAATTAAAACACACACACAGGACACTACGGTTTTACTTTCTAAAAAAAAACCCCTGAGATTTATAAGCTTATTTGAGGAATGGGGACATCAGCAATGTCCTCATAATTCACCATCTCATTGTAATACCTGTCTAATGTGTATAATGACATGGGTATTAGACAGGTATTACAAGGAGATGGTGCTCAAGTCTCAAAAGACATATGAATCACTATGTCATTATACACATTTCTGTCCTGCTACATCACAAAAACACCAAAATGTGAATGTGTATAAATACAATAAACCCCATGTACATATAAATACAGCTAAAGTCTGTAGTATTCACCCTCCTGTATCATTTTTCCCCCAATTTCTGTTTAACGTAGAGCAGATTTCTTCAACATTTCTAATCATAACAGTTTTATAACTCATTTCTAATCGCTGATTTCTTTACCATTAGCCATGATTACACGTAATATTAGACTAGATATTCTTCAAGACACTTCTATACAGCTTAAAGAGACATTTAAAGGCTTCACTAGGGTAATCAGGGTAAAGTTGGGGTAATTAGGAAAGTTATTGTATAACAGTGGTTTGTTCTGGAGACAATCCAACACTAATATTGCTGATGGGGCGAATAATATTGACCTTAACATGGCTTTAAAACCATTAAAAACTGCTTTTATTCTAGTCAAAATAAAACAAATAAGACTTTCTCCAGAAGAACAAATATTAGAGGAAATACTGTGAAACATTTAAAAAAAATATTTAGAAATTATGAAAAACCTGTTAAACATCATTTGGGAAATACTTTTTGAGAAAATATATTTACAGGAGGGTGAATCATTCTGACTTCAACTATACGTATTTATATTATAGGTGGGCATAGATAATTTTTTTAAAATCTAGTTTAATCTCACTGTAATCTCAGAATTAATCTAGATTAAAATGTCTCATTTGAGTTCTGCCGAAGGCATTCAGAATATGTGTGCTACCCAAATAATAAGTCTTTGAG